TGCGGCCCTGGGTCATTGGTGAGAAACCGCAGAAGCGGTAAGTATTTCGCAGAAGCGGCTACCGCAGGTGCGGTTTAAGACCGCAGAAGCAGAACCCCTAGATTTTAGTTAATAGCCGCAGAAGTGGCATTTATTCCGCATAAGCGAGGCCGCAGATGCGGTCCCTTGTTCGCAGAAGCGGAAATCCCTGGGCAGAAATAGAAATTTCGAGGGTTTGAGTTCATAAGTTACAAAAATCAATTGAGAACTCGGGCAAGGGCGATTTTGAGTGGGTTTCGAAGTGAAGACTATTGGGTAACGTTTCCTTAATCCCTTCTAGTTATATTTCATCATTATATAGTTAAATATATCATTGGAATTCGAATTTAGGATCAAAATTGGATAATTTGGGGTAAAACTTCATTGGCTAAATTATGGAGTTTTGAGGGAGCATTTGACCTCTGATTTGGGAGATTTTTATATGGTTAGACTCGTGAGAGTACGAGGGTTCTGAAAATATGAAAATTATTCGATTCCGGGGCGTTGGCCTGGAGGGCATTTTGGTCATTTCACCTAATTTTATGCCGTAGCTTTGAATTTACTAGCAAAACCAGGTGTTTGCAATGTTATTTACAATGTGTAATTGAATTGAATAGATTTGAGCCATTTGGAGTCGGATACTCGTGGCAAGAGCGTGATTTCTAGTTGATATTGAGCCGGTTCGAGGTAAGTGGCTTGTCTAACTTTGTGTGGGGGACCTTTCCCCTTAGGATTTGATATGTGGTAATTGAGTGCCTTGTATGTGAGGTGACGAGCGCGTACTTGAGCTAATTGTTGAAAAATCCAGTTTTTACTTAAGATATTGAGACTGAGTTTCCTTCATATTTGCCTTGTTTTACTTCCAGTTATAACCTGTGTTAGATTAGAAAAGCATGTTAGTTGATTTAACTTGCCTAATTGTTTAAGTTTCCTTGACTGTACTACGTGAAGCATGCTAGGCTAGTACTACCCCCCCTACACATTTACTTTGGGACTGCAGGTTAGATTCCCGATAGATCCCCCTGTACATTTACTTTGGGACTGCGGGTTAGATTCCCGATAGATCCCCCTGCACGTTGATAGCTGGACTACGGGACAGTATCCCGGGAGATCCTTCGGATATACACATATGATGGACTACGGGGAGGCATCCCGGGAGATCCACTAGACAGTTGAGAAAAGGACTACAAGACGGTATCCTGGGAGATCCTCATTGTTACCATTGGTATTGAGCTGTACTTATTCTATGGTTGTTCCGTTCTTTGTGTATTTGGTATTGACTTGTGTAACCCGTCTTATCTCTCTGCTGCACTCATTATTATTGTCAGTTTTTTTTCATACTGTTAATTTATTATTATATTTTATCTCAGTAGGGCCCCGACCTTCCTCGTCACTAACCAACCGAGGTTAGGCTTGGCACTTACTGAGTACCGTTGTGGTGTACTCATGCCCTTCCTGCGCATGTTTTTTTATGTGCAGATCCAGGTACCTCCACTCAGGCGCACTATCCTTGAGGCGAGGAGAGCTACGGAGACTTCGAGGTATATCTGCAGCGTCCGCAGACCGAAGAGTCTCCTTCCTTATTCTATCTGTAGTGTCTAGATTCTATCATACTTTTGATGTAGACATTCTGGAGATTTGAGCATTTACAGTATTTCTATTAGCCTGTGGTTCCCATGAGTTTCCGGGTTTTGGGATTGAGTTGTAGACTTCCGTATTTCTTTTGAGTTGTATAGGCCGAGCGGCCTTATATGTAGTTACTGTTTTAATATTTCTAGCTTTATTTAACCATTTCGCAAGTTAGGTTGTTATTTCCGCATTGTTAGGCTTACCTAGTTGTAGGAACTAGGCACCATCACGAGATGTTCATGGAGGGTGAACTGGGGTCGTGACAACGCCCCTCTAGAGTCTGACATACCAGCAGTGAGCACAGGTACCGTACAGTGGTGAGTGATTGTGTGCGATGAGTGGGAGTTGAAACAATCTGATTGAGTAATCTAAGAGCGTGAGTAACTGGGATTATCATTGTGATGCATTACATTTGACATGCATATTTGACATGTTGTCATAAAGATGTAACATTCCTCATGCTACTTGTTTTTGACATATTTTATCAGTGTTGAGCTTAAAATATCGAACTCGAAAGCATGTCTATATTTCTTTACTGTGTACAAACAGAATATGGAATTCTCTGAGTTATTATTGTAACTTCCCTATTATATCTGTACTGTCATTATCGGGATGCGGACTGTATCTTTCTGAGCTCGTCACTACTTTCAGCCCATGGTCAGTCCTGTCACTTATTGAGTATATTGGGTTGGTTGTACTCATACTACACTCTGCACTTTGTGTGTAGATCCAAGTACATCTGGACACGGCGGTTGCTAGATTTGGTGCAGTATCTGCTCGGAGACTATTGAGGTAACTGCTATGACGCCCTGCAGACCTCGAGTCTCCTTTCTTTCAATCTATTCAGCACTATTCTATTTTCGTGACACTCGTATTAGAGATTTAGACTGTGTAGACACTTAGTAGCTCATGTACACAGTGACACCAGGATTTTTGGGATTTTGTAGTTGAGTCGCAATTGTTCTTATCGGTTATTTATGAGATTTGAAGTGTTAAACCTATTACATCATGCTTTTCAATTTAAAATGCGTAGTTATTTTGTGATTGTCGGCTTTCCTAGTAATGTGATAGGCGCCATTGTCACGACCCATTTTCTGAACAAGCCGGGACCGGCACTCGATCACTAAACATGACCGAGCGAACCATCTGTGCTTATCAAATCTATTATAACTTCAAACTTTATATGCCACAAGACACTACTGTAACCAAATACTTTTAAATAATTTAAATATCTAAAATAAGCCAACTTCCAAAACTTTATTCGTAGTAACCAATAAAATACTGCTAAGTTATTATCGAAAACATCTGAATCTTAACCCAACGACTATGTCTATGAAGCCTCTACTGTTAAACTGACGCACTGCTCAGGACATGAGATTTCCTGGCCAGTTCTCTAAGTAAACAAAGAAATAACTAAATAAAAATGACTCTAAGGAATACTCCACGAACAAAAGCGGAGCTCACCAATAACACTGGAAAGGAAGGAAGTCCTAAACCGTAGCCTGTTCGCCTAGAAATTGGTTCCTACGTTGTACCGCAGACCAACGTAGGTTCCCAAAAGAGAACGTCAGTACCATCCATTGTACCCAGTGAGTCTCAACGACAGTGGACGAAACTTTAATAACATATACATTACGAGCAAGGATTCTAAATGCATGTAAAACATAAAGCTTATAAGAACAATTCTAAAATAATTGCATAATAACAGTTTATGAATATCCGAAAAGAAACTCTTTTCTTTTTCTTTCTTATAAAAAGAATAGTTCACTTTATAATTTGGGAGTTCCAACTATCTTGACTTAATTCTTTCTCAGTCACCGTGTGATCGGCACGGTTTCGATCCCAACCTGATCGAAAAGGCCCAATCCACGAGGTGCCACTCGCTTCATGGTTCTCAGCGCTCATGTCTCATACCTTAGCATGGCTAAGTAAATTCTCAGCAATGAGACCCTCGGCTCGTGAGCTCCCTACTTTGGCACAAGTAGTTTCAGGAAGTGAACGCCTTGGTCAGGACGCTAGGTCTGGATGATGACCCCTTCTCAGAATAAAGAATACTCTCAAAAATCTTTTCTTTCTAAAACTTCTTCTTGTGACTTATCAAGTCTAAATCTCCTATGCATACTCATACTGGTATCCTTAGATGTAAGGCATGGCATAAGAATGAAATAAACATTCAAAAGTATTTATAAAGATTCTTGATCCTTCATGAATTTTCAACATGAAAATGGCATATAAGAATAACATAGAAATCTGAAATTTATGCACATATATCAAAATAATCATCTAAACTTTAGCTAGAAAATAATTCTAAGCTAATAGATACTTACTACTCCAATTAAGTATATATTAACTCTTTTATGCAATTCATCAAACACCTTATGTGCGTGCTTTTGTGAGTTAAACCACTTTAGTAAAGAGTTATATCAACTCACCTCAAAACTTCTCGAGCCAATACGTAGACTCCAGTCCAATTTATACTCGTCAAACAATTGATTCTACAACAACCAGTGCATTTTAAATAAATTTTAAAGTTTCACACCTAAACATGTAAGTTACTGTAGATATAGAGGAAGAAGGGGATTAGCTATTCAATTCTAACCTATTACCACTGTAGGATAATTGACAATAGGAAAATTTACATACCTGAATTCAAGAATTAGTGATTGGTAAGAACCCTAGAATTTTCCGTTGCTTGCGTGAGTATTTTCGCTCGGACGTGCGTCTGTTTCTTACACGCAGAAGTCTGCTTGGAGTTTCTTTTTTTGAGAAGAAGTCTGCTTGGAGTTTCTTTTTTTTGAAAAGAAGTCTGCTTGGAGTTTCTTTTTCGTTCGAAGTTTTAAGGCTTTAAGCCTGCTTACGCTTTTCAACAGTTTTTATGGGCTTAAGGGCTTTGGTTATTTTGTCCATTTTTTTTATTATTATTTTTTTTACTTAACTAATAATTAATGATACCTACTTTTAACAATTAATAATACTAAAATTATTAATATTTCCTAATTGTATACCACTTATTTATAAACATAGATGTAACTCCAAATTACTCACAAGGGTTTAAATCTGTAATAGAAGTATAATTTAAGGGGAAAAATTAAATTCTGTATTTAGCGAGTCTTGAAATTTATATAAATTTGAGGAGTGTTACAATCTTCCCTCCTTAAAAACATCCGTTCTCGAATATTGCTAGGGCCTTATTCTTAAGCTAACAATCATTTCTTAGGTCCTTGAACCTCTTAAGTTTTCTTAGCACTACTCACTCTTCCAAGAGACTCAAAATTTTGGCTAACTCGCTTAATTTTTCAAAAATTTCGGCAGAGCTTCCCTTGTAAATTGGACTGTCTAGAAAAATATCCCTATCACAAATACCACAACTACACCAACAACAACCAAAATACCATAACAGGCCATTCATAGGCACCATACATAGCTCATAATTTAATTACTCACACTCCGGCAAGGAGGTACCACAATAACTAACAAGAATCTAAAGCACAACAACTTTAGCACAAGTAAATTACATTAATGAATTAAATATACTACGGAATAAACTAAATTACAACAACAACTAAGTATAATCTAAGAAGGACATAAACACTTGCTAACTTGTATTAATAAATGAAATATAAATATCAAACCAACTTAGGTTCACATAAGTTTTTCCTCAAATAAATATGGATATTTCTTTCTCACATCTTCCTCGACCTCCCACGTAGCCTATTTTGAATCAAGATTACTCCACAAAACATTTACTGATGCTATATCTTTTGTTCTCAACTTTCTTACTTGCCTATCGAGAATTTCTATAGGTACCTCTTCATAAGCCAAGCCTTCTTTAATTTCTATGGTATCGGCAGGTATTATATGCGACTCATCATGAATGTACTTTCTAAGCATAGCCACATGAAACACAGGATGAACAGAGGACAACTCAACGGGTAGCGCTAGCTTATAAGTCACGTTTCCTTTCTTTTCTAGAATTTCATAAGGTCCGATAAATCTAGGGCTAAGTTTCCCTTTCTTACCAAACCTCATAACTCCTTTCATTGGTGAAACTTTCAAAAATACCTTATCACTAACCATGAACTCTAACTCACGATGCCTCTTGTCGGAATAGGATTTTTGACGACTCTGAGCCGCTTTTAGTCTTTCCCTAATTAGCTGGACTTTCTCTAAGGCCTCACAAACAAACTCTGGACCAATCAATGACACCTCTGTTGGTTCAAACAAACCCAGTAGAGACCTACATCTTCGCCCATACAACGCTTCATAAGGAGCCATACCAATGTTGTCCTGATAGTTGTTATTATAAGCAAATTCTATAAGTGGCAAGTGATCATCCCAATTACCTCCAAAATCTATAACACACGCACGCAGCATATCTTCGAGAGTCTTAATGGTCCTTTCTTCCTGGCCATCGGTCTATGGTTGGAAAGCGATGCTTAAATTAACCTTGGTACCTAATCTTTTCTGAAATGCCTGCAAAAAATGCACCGTGAACTGAGGGCCTCTATCAGATATGATTGAAACTGGAGTACCATGCAATCGGACCATTTCTTTGATGTACAACTGCGCATACTGCTTTGCGAAATCTGTCGTCTTTACTGGTAGGAAATGCGCGGACTTTGTCAGTCGGTCTACAATAACCCAAATTGAATCATGTTTGCGGTACGTGCGAGGTAGACCTACTACGAAATCCATATTAATCATCTCCCACTTCCACTGTGGTATCTCTATATCTTGAGCTAGGCCACCAGGCCTCTGATGCTCGGCTTTGACTTGCTGGCAATTTAACCATTTAGCCACATGATCTGCTACTTGTTTCTTCATGCCTTTCCACCAACACAACTCTTTCAAATCTAGATACATTTTGGTAGCACCTGGGTTGATAGAATACCTCGAACTGTGAGCTTCCTCCATTATGGCCTTCCTAAGACAATCTACATCAGGCACACATAACCGATCATTCAACTTCAAAACCCCGTCACTTCCTAGAGTGAAAGTAGTGATTTCTTTGTTTCTGACTCCTTCTTTTAATTTCACTAAGTATGGATCTTCGTCTTGCTTAGCCTTAACATGCGCAACAAGGGAGGATTGCGCTAAGGCATAAGCAGTTATACCTCCTTCTTCGGTCTCATCCAATCTAATTCCATCATTTGCTAGTTTTTGATTTTTTCGACCCAAAGGTCGCCTTTGTACTGCAAGACGGGCCAAGACACCCATTGACTTCCTACTAAGTGCATGTGCTACAACATTAGCTTTGCCCAGGTGATAAAGGATATTGATGTCATAATCTTTCAATAGCTCGAGCCACCTTCTCTGTCTCAAATTTAATTCTTTTTGCTTGAAAATGTACTAGAGGCTCTTGTGATCTATAAACACTTCAGGATGCTCGCCATAAAGGTAGTGCTGCCATATCTTTAATGCAAACACCACTGCTGCAAGTTCCAAATCGTGGGTGGGATAGTTCTTTTCATAATTCTTTAACTGCCTGGAAGCATAAGCAATAACTTTTCCATTTTGCACAAGAACACAACCGAGACCAACTCTGGAAGCATCAGAATACACTATGAACCCACCCGAAGCTTTCGGCAAGGTTAATATAGGTTCAGTGGTCAACCTCTTCTTTAACTCTTGAAAACTCTGCTCACAAGCGTCTGACCACTGGAACTTAACTGCTTTCTGGGTCAACTTAGTTAATGGAGCTGCAAGTGAAGAAAACCCTCTACAAACCTTCTATAGTAGCTAGCTAACCCCAAGAAACTTCTGATTTCGGTTGGCGTTGTCGGCCTTGGCCAGTTTTTGACTGCTTCTGTCTTCTGAGGGTCTACTTTTATGCCTTCACTAGATACCACGTGGACTAAGAATGCCACTGACTGCAACCAAAACTCACATTTTGAAAAGTTGGCATAAAGCTCATTCTCCTTCAAGGTCTGCAAGGCTATTCTGAGGTGTTCTGCATGATCTTCCTCGCTCTTAGAGTATACCAAAATATCATCTATAAACACGATAATAAAGGTATCAAGGAATGGCTCGAAAACTCTGTTCATGAGGTCCATGAATGCAGCTGGAGCATTTGTCAACCCGAAGGACATCTCAAGAAATTCATAATGCCCATAGCAAGTTCTAAAGGCTGTTTTAGATATATCCTCTTCTCTGATTCTCAACTGATGGTACCCCGACCTCAAGTCTATTTTTGAAAAGTACTTTGCACCCTGAAGTTGATCAAGTAAATCATCAATTCTTGGCAGTGGGTAATTGTTCTTAATGGTAACTTTATTCAACTGCCGATAGTCGATGCACATTCTAAGAGGCTCATCTTTCTTCTTGACAAACAGGACCGGGGCACCCTACGGTGAAACACTCGGCCTGATGAAGCCCTTGTCAAGAAGGTCTTTCAATTGCTCTCTCAACCCATTAAGTTCTGCTGGAGCCATCCTATAAGGAGGTATAGATATGGGCTGAGTGCCTGGTATGAGATCAATGCCAAAGTCTATGATTCTTTCAGGAGGAAGTCAGAGAAGGTCATCTGGGAAAACTTCTGGAAATTCTCTAACAACTGGCAAAGACTGAAGAGCTGGTGGTTCTGATTCTGGATTAATGATGTGAGCCAAATAGGCGAGACACCCTTTACTGACCATTCGTTGTGCCTTAAGGTAAGAAATAAACTTACCTACAAATGATGCTGAACTACCCTTCCACTCTAAGACTTCTTCATTTGGAAATTGGAACCTGACTATCTTGGCATGACAATCTAACATGGCATAGCAGGAAGATAACCAATCCATACCCATGATCACATCGAAATGCACCATTTCTAATTCTATGAGATCGGCCTTGGTGTTGCGACCTTGGACTGAAACTATACAACCTCTATAGACTCTTGTGACTCTCACTAACTCGCCAACTGGAGTAGATACTAGGAATGGCTCACTAAGTGGTTCAGGTTCTAGTCCGAGGTTAATTGCAAAGTATGGAGTCACATATGAAAACGTTGAACCTGGATCCATTATGGCATAAGCATTATGTGAGCAGACTAAAAGTATACCTGTAATAACTTCTGCAGATGCCTCTGCACTCTGATGATCAAGTGTAGCAAACAAACGGGGTTGTCCCCGTCGCTGAGTAACTCGATCTGCACCTCTGCCTACCCCATGCCCGGCTTGATTATGAGAATCACGAGCCTGGGATGGTGCAACTGCAGTAGCTGAGGACCTAGATGGAAGAGTTGATCCACCACTGAAAGTACGTCGCAACCTTGGGCAGTTGGCCTTTATATGACCAATGTCTCCACAATGATAGCAAGCATGAAACTCGAGCTAGAACTGACCTGAATGTTGCCGCTTACATGTTCCACAAAGACCTCGTTGGTGTGAATGTTGCTCAGCCTGACGCTGGATATGTGAGGATGATGTCCTAATATTCTGATTTTGGCGAGACTGATTTCCATAGCTCTGAGTATGTCTGAAGGAAGACCCACCACCTGACTGATGACTAGACTGAGCTAGTGCTAATGACTCCTAATTAGAGGAATCCCTTCCACCTCCGCTGGTTGTACCATTAAAGCTGCCCACTGTCCGGGCTTTCTTGTTATGCTCTTTTTCTTCTCTTCTTTGATGCCTGTCTTTTTCTAAGTGCTCGACAAATCCCACGACAGAGGAGAAGGCTGTCATCCCTACTGCTGCAGCACATGTCGTATCCTTAATGTGTTAAGCTGATAAGTTGGTATTTTACCAACTTATCTTGTCTTTAAACCTATACTTTTGCTATGTTTGAGTGATAAAATCGTGTATTTAATGTCATTTACTTCTATTTTACAGGTTGTATGTGATTTAGAGGTAATGGTGAAGAAACCAGGCAAAAACAAGTCAAAAAGGAGCTAAAATGGACAATGAGAAACTGCCTAGTGGTTTACTCTTCGTGAACGCGAACGCACCATGCGAACGCGAAGAACCAGGCAGCCACACCTTCGCGAACGCGAAGTACACAACGCGAACGCGATGTAGCAGAACATGAAACTTCGCGAACATGAAGTTGTGAACATGAACGCGATGACTGAGGAAAGTAAGCCTTCGCGAACGGGAAGGCTTGACCGCGAACGCGATGAAGAAACTGGGCGTTAAAACTGGGCATTTCTGGAATTTCACATTTTTGACCCCAAACCCTTTAATACCCAAATAAGCTCATTTGTATGATATGTTTGGAAATCTCTGGACATCTTTAGCATATTTTTGAGTTCTTAGACTTAGAGAGAACAAGGTGGAAGCTAGGGTTTTGCACACACACTTGGGTCTTGAAGATTTGAAGCTTGTGGTTAAGGATTTCTTACCCATTTATGTTTATTTCTTCATTTCCTTGCTTTATATTGTATATCTAAGTGTGTAGTATTTTATCCAACACTTGAATCTTGTTTAGTTATATACATTTTCCAAAAACCAAATTCTTAGTGTTTGGCATTGCGCGATAAATGATAATTCTCTTACATTGCTAATCGCCTACATATTGTTCTCTGTGGGATTCGACCCCGACTCATAGCTGGGTAAATCATATTGCATGCGACCGTATCCATTTACTTTTTAGTAGTGGATTTTGACGTCATCAAAATTGGCGCCGTTGCCGGGGAACAATTTGGCGTAATTATGGTTGTTTGAGAAATAAGCGTAAGTGCTTTGGTCCAAACTTGTGAATATTTGTGTAATTATTTTTCTTACCTTGGTCTGTTTTTCTTGTTTGTTTCTTGTTTATTTTTCTTATTTTTGAAAAATTGCATCATTTAATGATAATTGGTCGGATGGTAGTTGTTCATACTTTGATGACCCTTGTCCTTATTGTGGAGGACCACACTCGTGGCAAAATTATTTAAATTCTCCCGGGGGTGGATTGTGCGCACAATCTCAAACCCATAAATGGAGTATTTGTGATAAGTGTAGTTTTCAAAATGGTCATTGGGATGATTGTGCTTATTTATCCTTCCCTTCCCCAAGCCCCCGCTATGATGATTCTACTTTTTGTGATGAAAATTATAGGGCTATGGAAGTGGAAGAAGTTGAGCATGGTAAAATGGAGAGTTCAAGCTCATGTTGGAGTGCGTACTTGAAGGAGGAAACAAAGAACAAAGTGCCTTGGAGGAGATTTTGGAAAATAGTCTCTAAAATGACTTGGCACTTTGCAAGGTTGCACTCACAAATGGGAGAAATGCTTGAAGCTTTAGAAGTCCAAAAAGCCTCAGAAGTTAATGATAGCAAAGAATTTTCCTTAGATGTGGAAGCCGAAAATCCTTCCTTGGCACTTGATCAAAACCAAGAAGAACTCTCAAATGCTCAAAATGAGAAGATGATGCTCATGTTGGAGACCATTCTTGAAAATGAGGAGATGCATAACTTTTCACTCGAGGACTTGAAACAAGGCTTGGCTCACAATGATGAACATATCCGCACTTTGGTAGCTCAAATGAAAATATTGGTTGAGGCTCACTATGCCCACCAACTTGAGAATGTGGAAGAAAGTCAAGAAGAGTCCAATTCCGAGGAAGAAAGTGAGCTTTACTTTGAGGAATCAAGACTTGAACATCTGCCAACCGACTCTATGAGTGTTTGTGATGCCAAGAAAAATAAGGAATTAGAGTCAACCGGGGTGATTGAAAAATGTTGTTGAAATTGACGCTCGTCCGGGGAAAAAGAGGATGTCAAAATTCGGGAAAAATTGCAAGTTGGAGGTTTGAAGTCACATTCCAAGCATTTTTCAACGTTGGAATTATGTGGTGATATGGAAGTTGAACCACACGAATCATAGAAGGACTGCAAGGAGGAAAAACTCATACCATACATCCTACAATTTGAGGGAACAAGAAAGCTGTCACGACCCTAAACCCAGACCAGGTCGTGATGGCGTCTCTCGTGAAGACAAGGCCAGCCGACACATTCCCAATTCGAAGTTAAACAGCTAAACAACAATACAACAGGCTAAAATATGATCTATTAATGCTAAACAGCGGATAATATCATAACAATGCGGAAGTACAACCCAAACACAGCCCAAACCGGGGTGTCACTAGTCATGAGCATCTACTAAGTCTAAATACAACTGACAAAGTCTGAAATGTACTCAGTACAGTCTAATAGAATGAAGAGAGGGAAAACATGTGCTGCGAACGCCGGCAGCTACCTTGCTATCCACTGACAACTGCCACCCAGCTCAGAAAAATACCTGAATCTGCACACAAG